ACTAGAAAAGCTTTGGATTGAGTATGTATAAAGTCATAGACATTGCGAGTGGATCCCATAAAAAATGGAATTTCAAATTCTTGTTTGCTCCAAAGGATCTTTATGTCTGTGCTTTGGGTGGGTCCAAATCCAACCCTCATTGATTTTATCAAAGCAAATGGCGGACAATGATACAGGATACGTACAAAAACATGCACAGCTACCTAATACTTTGGAGTCCACTTTAGTTGGCCTAATCAGGGAGACCAATTGGCACGTGCCCAAAAGCAGCGCCAAATACTCTAACCAATTTCTTCACTTTAACACGGTACCTGGCGCCGGTGCGCTCTTCATCCTCCTTGCAAAACTCCACTTTATCCCCGATTTCAAGCTTTTTGGTCCAAACAAACTCACGCCATCCCTTGGTAAGAGCCGGCTTCAGGTGCTTTTTCTGGCGGGTATAACACCGGAATGTCCAGACCCGACCGTTCTCGTCTTTGACCTCGAAGTCAACCGCATAACGTTCGCCGGACAACGGGAAATACTTGAGAGACTTGCTGGGAACAGACAGTCTCTTCCCAACATCTGTTTTGCTAAGACACTTGGAAAATATAGTCATGGAATATATTTGTGTGTTTTGTGTGACTCTGTCTTTAACTCGAAAAAATTTGGATGGGGACATATACAGCAAAGGAAAGCACTTGATCGTGCGATTTTAAGAGTTTCTTTGGTTGGAATTTTGGAATTCCATGATGGAATCGATCGATTTTGGTTCCGTACTATTCTTGCTTGGTGAGTAAGTACTTAATTTTATGGTAGTCAAAAAAGTTGAAGAGAAAGATGCTCGATTTTCTGCTGTGCGATCGCGCGATTCTTTATTATTTTTCTCCCAAGTCGCAAGTCTAAAGTGGCAGTTTATGAGCTATGAGACGGACGCGATCGGTCGAGAGGCAGAGTGAAACTGCTTCATTTTCTATTGGTTCGCTAGTCTTTCTTGCGTTTCCATTTTTTACTACTAACAAAAATTTGGACCACATCCGTCGACCCTTTTTGCGCCCATCTCATATGTTGTTTGGATAAATGTCTCTCTCTCTTTTTCTTTTTATTTTTCTAGACAGAAAAGAACTTTTTAATAAAAAATAAAGAGCGAAAAGAAAATCAAGACATTTTGTCTTATAAACATTAAATGTGTTGGATATAAAATAAAAATTAATTTTATCAAATTTATTATATAATTATTATTAGATATATTGATAATTTTAATGTTAAAACATTTTAATTTTTTTTCTCAAAAACAAATACACATACATACACAATATCTTTACTGAACTAACAAAAGTTTATAGGAATATTAAACTATATAACAAAGAAGTTTAAAAAATTACAAGTACTTAATCGGTGAAAATAGAACTTATTTTTTAAGTCAATCTATATATATATAAACATACAAGAATATTTATAAAATTAATTAAATATCTTTAATGAAGATAATTAATTAAAGATATTTAAATAATTTCATAAATATTTCTATATTTTTTCTTATAGGTAACCTGAAAATCTTGCAACTCCTAGTCGAAATATGAATTCTTTGCTCCTGACAATTACTTACTCTCTACTCTGCTTTCTAGCTTAATTTGTAGCTCCTGGTAGCGCCAGAGTCAGGTCTAAATTCAAAACAGATTCCTCTTGACCGCCGACCAATCTCAAATTTATCTTCTTGGCACTATTGAATGCTTTACCGGATTCTGTTTTTGGTTTAGCCTTGTTGGGGACTGAAACGCCCAAATTCCCATCAACTGAAGGTGCCCTGGTTGCTCTGTCCACCTCAATCCGAAACCAGAATTCTTCTTCATCATCCTCTCTGTAAAGGGTCACTACATCTCCGACCTCTAAGCGGTTGCGGCGAACAAAGGGTATCCAACTGTTAGAGAAAACAGGTTTTTTGTAACCCTGTTTCCTAGTGGAACATACCATTGGCCACACCCGACCCTCATACCGAATGTTCAATTTTACGGTATGGCCTTCATTGAAATTTGGAAAGAATTCCAGACTCTTTGATGGGATTGCCAGCCTCCTGGTGATATCAGTGCGTTTCAGAAGTTTCTTGAAGAGCCTGGTTGTCTGAGGCATGCTACCAAGATTGGGGTAACAATAAAAATTCTCAGGAAAAGAAAATGTAAAACAGGGAGATTGAAGGTAATTTGGGAAGTGAAGGATAGCAGGCTAGCAAGTTGCAGCCATAATACTGCATACTACTGCTATTTATCACCGTCAACAGGAGCAAGACAAAAATTCAACCTACAGGCCCCATGTATTGCGCTAAAATGAAAGAACTGAAGAAACCCAATTGAAATTGGAGGTATCTCAATCGATGCCATAAAGGTGATCGCGCGTGAGATATAGAGGTGATCGCGAGGGCACTCGGTTTTTGGCTGAAGTAGTGGATAAGATACACTAAAATCACAATTAAGGGGCTTATCATATTGTTGCACTGAATTGAAGTCCTAAAATTATTCGTCATTTTTAACTAAGATTTTAATTAGACAAAAATTAAATTAGTTGTTAAATCTATTAACTCTTATTGGTAAAAATAACAAAAACAGTCATTAGAATTTTAATTTTAACCTTCAATAACTTTAAAACCATACTCCCAATTTTTTTTATTGATGAGGAAATTTTTTGGCGCTTGTAAATAAAAATTTATTGTGGCATGTATTTGGACCTAACTCTATTTTTTTGCCACAAATGGATTTATCATGTAAATGTGTGTGACACACTCAAAAAACATTTTTTTTGTTAATGGTTAATTAGCTTTTTAATAAAATAATTTGAAGGTTAATTTGTAAAATATTTATGATAATTAAATTAAATTTTTAATTTTTGGACCCACAAAAATTTTCTTATCAACAAAAAGAAAAAGTTTAAAGATCATTTCAAAGCTTTTTATTTGATCAATGATTAGTTGAATTTAATGGTTTTTATTTAATTGGAACTTTATTTAAAAATTTTGATAATTTTAAAATCTAAATTGGGCAAAATAAAATTTTGAGATATTAGTTATGAGTTTAGCATAAGTTAGGGACCTTATGCACTAGTTTAGACTTTTGATATTGATCTAGAAATAGTTCCATTTTCAATAGCGTGCTCAATGTAAAGTACGATGGTTACATATTAAAATATCTTTTTCTTTTCTTTTTTCTTTTTTTTTTTTGAAAATAGACAATGGAAATTAAAATCTCTTTTTCAGGCTAATGTTTTGATTATGACCTAGAAATAGTGCTATTTAATATTTATATTTGAATAATGTTTATTATAGTTAAATTTGTAAAAAAAAAAAAAAGGCTTTTTTTGGGGCTAATTTTTTGATAATGACCTAGAAATAGTGCTATTTAATATTTATATTTGAATAATGTTTATTATAGTTAAATTTGTAAAAAAATTAGGTTAAAAAATATTTTAAAATTAT